TGGGACTATTTTTTATCAGTTTTGGCTGGGGAGGAGATTGGGAGGTGGGCAAAGTGAATATGGATCGCTGATTTGAAGGCGCATCTGCCTGTGTAAACCACGAGGTAGAAAGGTTTACTGGAGTCTGGGGTTGGAGACTCGGGTGGTTGTGAAATCTTGGGATTGGAAAGGGCTCGGCGCATGCGCAAAAGGGGAGTGGGACCTTTATCTCGGAATGAGAATGTAGAAGTTACTCTTGGAGAGATAAGTTGTTGCTCTGGGTCCAGTACCAAGTTGGGAAGATGTAGCTAAACCTCAGGCTACCAGAACCTATCATTACACCTCTCTGCACACTCCTTAGAAAACTGAGAAGTTAACAGAAGCCCCTGGTGCTTCTTCTAATGTTCATCTTGGCAAGTTTGCACAAAGAGTGATGTGATGTCATTTCCTCTCGGCTTTCAGGCTCTCCTCTGCCCGTGTTTACTTGTTTTTCTCAGCGAGGCACAGAGTCTCCCGGTGCTGGTCCAGGTCTCACTTATCCCAGCGCTGTCTCTGTGGAGCTCAATGCACTGCAATGGCCGTGAGGGGGAGCCAGACGCAGCCTCCTCACTCGTGTGCTCAACCAGCTTAAAATAAAATCTGGTGCTTGATTTTCAGCACAGTCTCTCCTTCTGTAGCAAAAATGAGGGTTTTATCAATGTTCCCGTATAATATTTATTATTTATAGTGTTACTGAAAGAGTTTTGGTCCAGGCCGGACACCGTACCTGGAAAAGCCTCTAGGAACCAAGGAGCTCCATCTCCTCCACCCCCAGGAATTTACCTCTGGCGCCAAACAAAGACCAGTGGGCTACCTGTGCATCACTAATGCCCCTTAGGTTCCACCCCAAACCTAGGCTACTTATATGCTTCCACTCCCTGTGTTCCACGGAGAGATCGGGGGTGGGGGGGGGTGGGGGGGAGAATGCTGCACCCCTGGGGGTCGGGGGTGTCTCTTCCCGCATTCTCAAAATAAAGGTCATTTACATTTCATACTTCTTATCTTTTCTTTTCAGCCGCAGGTCCCCCACAGTTCTATTAGTTACCCAACTTGATAGATGGTTGGACTGAAAAATACTCCCTAGATCAAGGTTTCTAAGTAAGTAATGAATGTTGGTCCTATATAATCTTTGTAATTATAATTATCTATGTGTGTTTGAATTGGTATACCTATTGTATTAGCCAGTACTTTACCTTTCATATATAAATCATTCAAATTCAACAGATTAGAAACCTGTGATGTTTCAAGGATTACCTGTGAACTACTTACTCCCAGAAAAAATGATCCTGATTGCCACAGAACTGTCAAGAGCTACAATGAAAGAATCCCATTGTCCTCTGGTGCCGTCTTTTTACGTATTGCCCCAGAGAAAATAACCAAACACAGACTTGAATAGTGATAGTATATTTTGAAGATGATTCAAAGTATAATACAAGTGAAGAAATGGGTACCATAAGGTAAGAAATAGAAATAACAAAAATGTTATTGAAATTGTCATATTTTTACAGTGAGAAACTGGAGCTCAATTCAGATGGGGACCTTTAAGGAAATCATACAGAATGCACCTCAAAAGAGAGCAGGGAAATAGGGCATTTATCTACTAGTTTCTTACTTGTCAAAGATGATCTTCAGAAGTTAATTCCTTGGACTTCTGGGTGAGTAAGATCTCAAGATAAAAGAGAATGCCCTCTGGTATAAAAGCAAATGATACAGGTACTTAAGTTGGGAACCTAACTATGTAGATGATCTTATGTGTGTTATTGAAATGGGGAGAGACACAAATATAATGATGTATTATAGATAGATGATAGACAGATATTTAAGATTTTGTATATCTCATATACCTAATGTTAGGTATACTATCAAATCTACTCTAAACAAAATAATTTAATATCCACATAGATTTTCTTAAAGACCATGTTCTAAAATGGTCTTGACAATTCCAATTTGCTTATAATTTTATTTCTTATGCTTTTTAAGAATCTGATGAAAGAGGAATAATATTAAGGATTCTAGGCTGAATAACATTATATCTCAGATAAATATGTATTGTTATTGATTTCTTAAAGTAGTCTATTATGATTCTATACACGATGCATTCAGTAGTTAAGTATCTCTATAAATAAAAGTTTAATAAGTAGGCAAACCCAGTGCCTTGCCTTGGAGTCAGCTGATTATGGCCTGAAACTTCCACAGATTGTAAGCTAAATATATCTTTCTTTTCTTCATTTTGGCATCAGGTATTTTGACTTTGGTTATTAGTTTTCTCTCCTTAAATGTAGTTTCTTACTTGTTTGATCATCAATTCACGTGTAATAGAAGATTTATCTGGGCAATATTGCCTTGGAATGTCAATGAAGATATTCTTTCTTATAAGGAAAATAGTCAAAATTCCAATGCCTTGTCTGTCTTCCCTAAATCCCCTTACCAAGAGCTCACATTTCATTGCTTCAACCTAGAAGTTCCAAAGGCCACACTTCAGGGACCACATTAGTGTTTCTGAAATTATGTAATTTATGATTACAAAATCTGACTACAAATAACTGATATTGCTTCAGTCATCTTCTGGATTACTGATGCCTGCGAGTTAACTCCCAAGCTGACACAGCTGCCCTCAGGGTTAATTAGACCATAGGTGTCTACATATGGCTGACAAGGTTCTCAGCATGAAAGAGGAGCAAATGAAGAGGTGTCAAGGTGATAGTATCTGAGATCATTTAAAAGAAAGAACTGTCTAGTATTTTACCCTTATCAGAAAACTTAAGGGAAACATTTTATTACCAACAGAATTTTATAACCTCAGTAATAAAAACATGTATAGGAAATAGCTTCTCCAGGTTATTTTCATTCTTAATAAATACAATCCCTGGAATAAAATACAATCACTGTACCTACACTTAGGAACAGGTCATCTTTTGGAGAAAATGAACAGGTAACATCTACTTGGGTTACTGAAAGAGGATGAGAGCATGTTGATGACTGAACAGCTAAAAAGTAAAGACTCAGAACTTCCCTTTGGCTCAGTTGTGGACTTAACGAATCAACCAGCACAGGAACGGCTAGGACCACGATACAGACTTGGAGATGGGTGACCCAATGGTCTTGATTCTACCATATCAGACCAAAGCTGGAGCCAGTGGGTCACATTCATTGCCCAAGCAGGACAGACATTTCCATAAACTGGAACCTCCAAGTTTGCATAAATTCAAGGAACACTGAAGGGAATTGGTACTTAAATATTGAGAAAAATGTGAGCAGAGGTCAAAGAGTAAATCCAGTTGTCTTCACAACTGATTTACACAGGACTGAGTATTCTCTTTTGCTACATTAAAAAGTTATACTAGGTAGGGAAAAACTACTTAGAAGATCATCTTCTTGTGGGACATGAACAGCAGTTGCTGCTAGTTCCAGGATGACTTAGGTTTTGTGGCAAGCTCTCAAAGCTCCAGGTACACATATCCTTGTGATTGTACCTCTATTTTCTCTCCTTTCAACCTGCCTGAGTAAGTGATTCATGCCTTGGACATGGGCATGGTACTCTTTCAGATCATCTCTTCTTTATTTTCTGAGAACCCTGGCCCTTCACATGTTACATTTCCATCCCAGGAAGTGCTTTCAGGGCCAGGAGCACAGGATGTTCCTCTTTCTCTTGTCTTTCCTAGAATCTGGCTGCTGCTTGCTTCTGAATAATGTTCTTTAAGGTCTTTTATCCTTTTAAAGGTAGGGACTGATTCCAAAAGCCAAAAATGCCTTTTGATTAAGGAGGTTACAAAAAGAGGGAAACTACCTTTAGTGATTTCTAAATGATTTTATTGTATCTATTTCAGTAGAGAATAACTGTTATAGTGGCAAGAAAAGCCATATTTTTTGCAAGAGGATTTATTATTTGTATTAGGGTACAAATGCAATCTCACATAATCACGACTATGGTTGTCACACAGCATTATTGTAAGATTTTTAAAATGTTCTGTGTTATTATTTGAGTTCCTATGACATCTGTAACAGAATGGGATACTGTTATTCTTATTTTCAGCAAGGAAGCAGAAGGGGAGCACAATTATACATAAAGCAGAAGTGGGATTGAACCTAAACCTGGTGCAAGAACTATATTGTGATTGTACTATATTGTCAATCCATATTCTATGTTATTTTTTAAATGTCTGTGTATTACCAAACATATCTTGTTAGTTTTCAGTCCTGACCCTTCAAATATGTGACCATGTCTATTTAAGTGTGCTTCTATTCATGACTCTACAGGAAAATCATAGTTTTATTTTTATTTTTTATTAGTACATGATATAGGACCAAATGTTTAGGTTCCTTATGGGGAATTTGTACATACACATAATACATCTTATTTCCTTTTTTATTCCTTTTTCCTTCCCTCCCTCTCTACTCCATTCATGTCTTGATCCCTTTCATTTTTTGTTTACTTTTACAATACATATTACATTCCTGTGTGGAGTTTGCACATGTACATAGCACATGTTAATTCCTCCTCCAATCCCTTTACATTCCCTTCCTTTCATCTTCTTCATTTTTTGGTCCTTTCCCCTTCAATAAGTGTTTATCTCCCTACTTTCTGTTATCTATCTTTAATTTTGCTATTTATACATTTTTCTCAAATAACTTCAATGTGATGAAATTACTGGTTTTTTTTGAGTCACTCTTAGAACCCCCAATCAGTTAGTTACATATGATTTATTTCATCTTTATATCCATGTCATTGTTTGAACTTTGACTTTTAAAAGTAAACATCTTATCCATATTTGGGTTCTGAATGAATATCTAGTCTATTCTCTATATTATTGTGATATTAAAAAGAATTAACACAATATGAAAACTAGTTGGAGAATAATAGAAAACACACTGTCATATTTTTCCATGTCATTTTTAGGGATCAAGTTTTTCAAGTAGTCCTCAGGAACCACAGTGCCATCACAGAATTTATCCTCCTTGGACTTTCTGCTGACCCTCAAATCGAAGCTCTGCTCTTTATGCTCTTCCTGGGGATCTACTTCTTTACCCTGCTGGGAAACTTGGGGATGCTGCTGGTGATCAGTGCTGACTCTCACCTGCACAGCCCCATGTACTTCTTTCTGAGTCACCTCTCTTTCTTGGACCTCTGCTTCTCTTCAGTTACTGTACCCAACATGTTGGAGAACCTCCTGTCTCAGAGGAAAACCATCTCGGTAGAGGCCTGCCTAGTTCAGGCCTTCTTTGTGCTTATTTCTGCAGGGACAGAAGCCTTTCTACTCTCAGCGATGGCTTATGATCGCTATGTGGCCATCTGCCACCCACTGCTCTATGGACAGTTGATAAGTAAACAGCAATGTGTGCAGTTTGTGTGGGGCTCATGGGGACTGGGCTTTCTGGATGCTGTCATCAATATCCCTGTGGCACTAAAAATGGACTTCTGTGATACCTATACCATCCCACATTACAGCTGTGAGCTACCCTCTCTGTTCCCTCTCTCTTGCTCTGATGTGTCCACTAACCTCATTATCATGCTCTGCATCATGATCCCACATGGAGCTGTAACTTTCCTCTCGATCTTTTTTTCCTATGTCTTCATTGTCTCTACCATTCTGAGTATCACTTCTTCCTCTGGCAGAGGCAAAGCTTTTTCCACCTGCTCTTCCCACCTTGTTACTGTGCTCTTATTCTATGGCTCTGGTTTTCTCCGCTATTTTATGCCAACCTCAGGTTCCTTCCTAGAGTTGGTTTTCTCTGTGCAATACAGTGTGATCACTCCCATGCTGAATCCCCTCATCTATAGCCTAAAGAACAAGGAGGTCAAAGCAGCTGTGAGAAGAACACTAGGGAAATGTCTCTCGTGCCACTGCTAGAAAAACAAGGAAGGAAGATGACAAGCAATTGGGACAAATATATAGCAAGATGGTGGGACTGGACACTAGTGAGAAATTTCTCACTAGTGCTCTTGATGTGAAATTTGGCAAAAATAAATTAAAAAGTATACAAATGAAGCATAGATCTATTGGTTTGTTCTATTCAATCAAAGGCAAAGGAATGGGTTAGATATACATACACACCATAATATTTGATAATGAACATATTATTTTTATTTCGTATACATAGGAATTAAAGTTGATTTGAGATAAATTACCTACAATTGTCTGTGTCTGAGTTTTGGAAAGGTTCTGAGTCATAGTTTTTCTAAGTATATAAGTGCCTGAATCTTCGAAGGAGAAACTCATAAATAGATTATAGAGCCATTGGTAACGAATTTAGGATTAAAGTTACAGAAAAGGAATAGGTGAATCACCTTTTTGAGATCGAAGCCTCCCCAAATGCGTGTTCTTACAGGAAATTCACAAAACAAAAGCCTGTGAAGAATTCTACTCCTATGGTGTAGTATGGCAGATCTGCTTATTCCCATTTCTTGGATTTAGGTAGGCCCATAGCCCTAGGGAGAGAGAGTCTTGAAATGGGACAGGAAAAAATAAAACAGATGTATTGAGGCAACCAAGAACCACAGCTGCTCTACACTAATAGTGGCTCTGAGGTAATCACTTACACCAAAGGTGATCCAGCTCTGCAGCTGAAATGTTAAATTCTCTTCAGATTGTAAAGAGGCTCATAATATCCACTTACTGTATTTTAAATGCCGTAGAATTTGTATTCATGTCCCAATTTTCATTCCTGATTGGTAAGTTGTATTTCCTTTATTTTCCTGATCAACTTTCCTAGGTTGACTAATTTTATTAATCTTAAAAAAAATAAACTTCGGTTTGAGGTTTTCACCTTATAGTAGTTTGTTTTCTATTTAATCAATTTCCACTATTGTATTTACGGAGCTCTTGCATTTTCACTGGGTTTTAAGTACCGTTCTTTTTCCTACACTTTTGATATGAAAAATTACTTTTATTGTCTGGCGGCTCCACCTTGAGTAGCACAGCCCGGGGTCAGAGCTGTGTCGTCCGAGAAATCCGGAAGCCCCAGGCGTCTCCTGCTGTGGCTCGAGATGGAAACAAGAAGCGCCTAGCCTCCGCCATCGTCCAGTTCCCGACGACCCCCTGTGGCTCGGCGGGCTCTGAGCCTTAAGTCGTCCTTCCGTTCCTGGAGCCGGCGGCCTTCGGCGGCCTGACGGTGGAGCAGAGCCGCCCAGCGCGGGCGCTGCCCCAGGCCCCGCCGGAGAAAGCAGGAGCAGCCGCTTCGGGCCGCAGGACCTGAGGGTCCCCGGGAGGACCCGCCTTCCGGGAGGACTCAGCGGAGGCGAGCGCCTCCAAACCAGCGAATGAAGTCCGGGCTGCATGTTAGGATGCACCCCGCGCCCGCCTGCCCTGCCTCCGCGGTCCCTTCACGGCAGGCTCCGTGTGAGGAAAGAGCCAGCGAGCCCGTGCCCACCAGCAGCGACCGCCCTCGGGGCTCCGAGAGCCCCACCGCCACCCAGCCGGCTCGGTAGTCCACGTCGCCCTCTTGATCTGTCCTCAAGGACTTTCAGAGCCCAGCAAACCTCGCGGGCTGGGCCGAGCTCACTGCCAGCCTCGGCCTGGGCGCCCGCACCCGGACCTCGAGTGCCGGCCGCAGGAGCTCCAGCGGCGGCGCCCGTCGACTCGGGCCCCGCCTTCCTGCGGCGCGAGCACCGGCTCGCTTCCTCCCGCCCTCCCCCTGCAGGCCTCGGTCCAGGTTGCACAGACGGGCCTTGTCCTGGCTCCGCTGCTCCCTTCCAGTCCTGCTGCAGGCGGGGTCCAGGGGCCGAACCCTCGGCTCTGAAACAGCCCGGGGGCGGGAAAGTGTGACCCCTGCAGGCGTCTCCACGGCCTCGCTCGCGACACCACCGCCGCAGACGGCGGGTTCTGTAGCAGAGCCTGCGTGTGTCACGGGAAGCCAGCAGCAGCGGCGCTGCCACTGCGGCCTTCGCTCAGCCGGGACGTGGCCAACCTGTCCGGCCCTTAGGAACCGAGTGGGGAATAAACAGCATGGTGACTCATTGCCCCCCGCACTCCCCCAAAAAGAAAGAATACTTCTATTGATATTTTAAAACATTCATTCTTTATAAGAGATTTCGCTTGCATTATTGTTGTTCTGTCCCGGAAACTTTTGAAACGTATGCCATGTCAGAATAGTCAGTTTAAAATATTTAGTTTCATTATAGTCTGACTCGAGAGTTATTTAGAAATATTTGTTGTTTTGAAGATAGAGTGCTCCTTTTTGATTTTTGAACATGCCCTCTTATTTCGTCTGCTTTTTCATTTTAAAAATAAATATTCGTCATTAGGTCTTTAAATATCACGTGTCTTTCTCTTCCATCTCCCTTTCGGAAATTCAGATTACATACATACTCAGACTTTTAACTCTGCCTCAAGATTTGTATAATAGTTTTTTGAATTTTCTCTTTTCTTTTTATCTGTTTTATTTTGGGTATTTTTATCAATTTTCACAAAGTTAGATATTTTTATCTTCTGTTGTGTGTAATTTACTAAGCCAACCCAAGGAGTATTTAATTTTAGAATTTTAAATATTAGGATTTTCATTATTATAGATAAAATGATAACTTCCTCTTTTTCCTTATTTTCTTGATCATGTTATTCATAGACATTGTAGTTTTTGCCTATAAATGCCATCATCTGGATTAATTGTAGATTTCCTACTCATCAGTGTTTGTTTTTGATCAAATGTGCCTCTTCTTCTTCACGTCTTGTATTTTTTAAATGCCAGATACGATGTATTAAAACTCTAGATGTCCCAGGATGTTTATCCTCTTCCAAAGCAAATCCATCATTTCCTCTATTAAGAGGAAAAAGTAAGAAGTTAGTTACCTGAAACAAACTGAATCAGATATAGGTTACAGTTTATCATAGTCCCTAGGGCACAGTTTTGCAGGCTTCTGATTGAAAGCTCATTTTGATTTTGTCTCTTCAGGACCATGAAATTATAGAACAATTTACTCTTTTGTAGAGTTTATCAGTTTCATAGAGCCTTGTTCAGTCTTAGAAATTACCAAATGTTTTGAAGGGAAAACTGGCTAAGTATTGAGACACTTTTCCAGTTTTGTCATTTCATCCATGAGCCCCTTCCAAAAACTAAATTATTTTCCACCTTTGTAACACTCTATCAGTCATATCCAGATTCTCAGCTTCTTACCAGAATACGCAAATACTTGCTAAGAAAGAGTTACTATTAATAGTCTGATAACCATAGAGGGGCATTCTACAGAATTTGAGCAATTCTAGTCCTTATTCCAGTGGCAGCTTGCTGATCCTTTTTAAATACATAATTTTTGTATTTTATCCAGATTTTTAGCTGCCTTCAGGGTAAGTATTTATCTGCAGTCCATAACATCCTTATTTTTAAAAAAGGTACCTGTTCTCTGGTTAATACATGTATATTTTTAAATATTCAAATCTCATTTACTGTAATGCTCCAGATTCAGTGTTTTATAACTTAATTTGTATAATGAGATAATGTCAAAATTATTCTGAAAGTACAAATATCAATAACAAGTAAACAGCACTATAAACTAGATTGACCTAACAAACACACAACACTTCACCAAACAGCGTACTCTGTCTTTGTGTGTAGAACATTCCCCAGGATAAACCATATATTAGGCCATACATCTCAATATATTTTAAAAGATTGAGTCATGGAAAGTATTTTCTCTTATCACAGTAGAGTAATATAATAAATCAATAACAAAAGGAAAATAGAAAATTAATAAATGCATGAAAATTAAAGAACTGGCTGAAATAACAAAGTTAAGGAAAAAATTACAAGAAATTAGAAAACAAAGAAGAACAATAATGAAAACACATCTTACTGAATTTATGGGACATAGTACAAACAAGGATTAGAAGAAAATATATATGTCTATAAATGTCTAGCAGAAAGAAAAAGATCTCAAATGAATGGGCTAGTGTTTCACATTAAGGAATTGGAAATTAAAAAAAAAGAAACTAAGCTCCAAATTAGGATAAGAGAATAATGAAGAGGTAAAATTTATTTATTTATTTACGAATGTATGTATTTATTGTCTTTTTTGAGATAGGGTCTTGCTATGCAGTTCAGGCTGGCCTTGAGCTCACTTTGTAGCCCAGGCTGGTCTCGAACTCACAACGATCCTCCGCCCTCAGCCTCCCGAGTGCTGGGACCACCCACCACACCCGGTGATGAAGAGGTAAATTTAAAAATAGAAAAAGCAATAGAATCAAAATAACAAGACACGATCAAAAGTTGGTTCATTGAAAAGATCAGGTGGGGAAGAGAACAAGAAGTCAAAAGAAACAAGCCCTCCCTGGGAATCAGCACACTGTGTGGGCTCAGGGGACAGCCAGACACCAGTCTTTCCCCAGGAGTTAGCACCATTTGCAGACTGTAGGAGAAAGAGAAAAAGAAATGAACAAGAAGCAAACCCTGAGAATTGGTACCACATGCAGGCCACTGGGAGGATAGTCAGATGCCAGCCTCTTCTGGTGCATGGGCTGGGAAACATTAAGAGTCCCCACGTGCCATAAGCTACTCGCTGCTCTGGAGAAATACAGGCTGTGATGATAACTACTGAGTTAAAACACAGTCTAATGTTTGTAGTGTTTAGTGTTTCACTGACTTTGCAGATCTAAAGCTGATTGTCTGATCATGTACTCAAAGGACAATAGTATGCAATGTAGTATCTATGGGGGAATCTCCCTCCGAAGGTGATAGCCAGTGTTAATTCCCTATTATCTTGTTTTGAAATCCAGTATCATTTTCATTGTTTTGTTGGGCTGAGTTTTACTCTGTTTTGTTTTGTTTGATTTTATTATATCTGATGGCATTGACAGCTATTTCAAAGATAACAAGATATATGGTAGCCATTTTGATTTACTACTATCCTTGTTTGTAAGTC